ATTCAGCTTTCCTGGTCATCTAAATCAAATTCTGCGTTAAATATATTATCGTCGTAGTCCAGTGTGTACATTTAACTGTGGTATTATTATTTTAAGGGTCAATGTTCAATATTGAGCGACTGTCTATGTGTTAAAATTACGCCCTTTTTACTCACCCCATGTAACCTAGTGCTTTTGCATTCGCTAACTGAATATGCACACAATAATAACTAGCCTTATTATTATGCACACACGTTGTTTGCTAAATATTGATTATTATATATAAACAAAGTCTAACATGGATGGGAAAAGGGGATATTAATTCAATTCAGTTGTCACGAATAATATTATACACTCATTTCTGCAATTTTCGGAAATGAATTTAGTTTGACCTGCGACCTGTGTGATTGGGGGCCACCTTGACCCTTGACCTCATCTGCTGACTGACATTGCTGACATACAATCAAAACAAGCCATAGATTGGAGGGTGCACACATCAAAGCAAAGCGTGGAGAATTGTTTCCATATTGTTTTAAAGATTTTGAAAATGTCCAAAAGTACAGAAGAATACATAAAAACGTGCAAAATGTTTTACCAAATTTTACCTAGAAAACCTATGGTGTTCAAAGGGTTAATATACTCCAAATTATTCTCTAAAACTGCATGGATTTTGTCAAACAAATCATTATGTTGTCTGGGTCAACTCAGTAATTATTCATAAGAGGAAGGGTCATGGAATTTTAACACCTGTCAAAACAAACCAACTAATGCATTCTATAAAAATTAATGTTTTTTAACTTCCTCGTTTCGGTGATACTAAAATAAATTTGCATGCTATAAAATAAAAATCAACCACCAATTAAAGGGGGGCAGTCGTCGTACTGCGTCCTGTTCGATATGGGACTCATAGCGAAGTATACAACGTGTGTAAAATACATTGTTTATTTACATGAAATTCGAACACGGGCTGCCCGACGACCACCGCGCTTTAAACTGCAGCTCCAAGTTAAATTTTAGGCTACATGTTGGTGTTCTAACTGAGAGAAATTTTTTAGTATTTTGTCGGCTAATATTTTCTAATTGTAAACATTTTACATGTCTCCCTTTTCAAATAATTTACTCCTACAATAGAATGCAATACACATGCATGGGAATACCATGGGAATTGAAACAAGTTTGGGCAACTTTTTATTTACATGTTTTCATTTATATGACGGAACCTTATATACAGCTGAATTTGCAATAATTTGTAATGCTTTATCTATCCTTGAACAGGCAAACTTGATTAATGACTCATACTTTCTTTATTTTCTTCAGAAGTGACATTGCAGAATTCGTCTACTGATAATAAGAGGACAAATATGGAAAATAGGAAGAGAAAGGAAACAAAGAGACCAACGATGACATTCTATCAACCAGGGAAAACACGACTGAGTAGAAGAACTGTGTCCAATACCTCAGTGCCGATTGAAAAGAATGATAAGAGTAGTGAAGTTGAGAGTTCGGCTCTTGAAAGAGAAGATAGCTGTGATAGTGATCATGACATGGCTTGTACAGAGGTGATTGAATCTACTGATAAAGACCAAAAAAGAAAATCAAAGAAACCTGATCTAGTTCGTTATACTGCTCCTCGATGTGCTGCTAAACCTAAAGATAGTGAACAAGCTGAAGAGGATAAGGAATTAACGCCTCAAAACAGGGAAGTTATCATTCCTGAGAAAGTGGAAACCCATAAAAAGGATCATCATCTTGCTCCATCCAAGAAACAAGAAGTATTAGAACAAAAGCTGGAAAGTAGTAGGAAAGTGGCTTTAGACCAAATTGGAGATATTCAAGTGACTGTGTCAAGTGATAAAGATGTGACAACATATACAAAACAGCATTCAAGACCCAAGTATGAACGGCATAGAGATGAGAGTACGAGCAGCGATATCAGTGTAAACAGCAGTGAAGACAGTGTCATTCCCCATCCCTATGAAGACTGGGAAGCTGAAATGATTGATATTGATAGGAATGATGTGGAGCACGGCATTAGTAAAATTACTGATAATGTGAAAACACAGGGAAAAGGTGTTGAAGTTTATGATTATTGTGGTGAGGGATTAGTGTTTGAAAGGCGAGAAATCTGGGAGGAGCAGATCGTTGATGTCCCATCATTAGCGAAAGACGTAGAAAGACAAAAGATTGATACTGTCCCCGGCTGCAAAAGTTTGAATAAGAAACGTGACAATGTACATCCTGAAAATATTGCTAAAACTAGAGGTGCGAAAACAAGTGGTAGTGTATCGCAGAGGCGAGTCGAAGCAAAATGTAAAGAAAGACCTCACGAAAACACACAGAGAGAATCTGTTAGAAGCACATCAGAAAAAGTTTCCTCGTCTGATGATCACAAGAAAGGAAAGTTAACTGTCACATTTGATACACATATCAGGAAAGTGAATGTGCCTCCAGAAGATTATTACAAGCGACCAGATAGGAAATCCAAGGCTAAGCCTTGTAGAACTAGTAATGATAGATCCAACGATGGTCATAGTGATCACAGTCCAGTGAGTCCCACTGCTAAAGGTGGTGGTATAATTCACTTACCTCATAATGTTTCATTGTCTAGCAGTCCAACTTCACCCCATGATCAGATCATGGTCAACAGAGGACGAGGCAGAGGTCGCACTAAATTATGGGATCCCAATAAACCACAGCCCAAAACTGCATCAAACAGACCAAATCAACAACCGTTACAATTCCACGATCCTGAATTCGATAGACATTTAGACTCAGAAAGATTTTCCAGGGAGCCAGATATGCCATATTCTTCATATAATCACCGGGAATACTATGCACACCAGCAGCAGCAGCAGCAGCATCCGCAGCAACAACAGTCACCAGGTTATTCTGAAAGGCCGTATGTTGACATGCCTCCTTATATGAACCAAGGATGGTACCCTCCGTACTATGGTCATGAGTATGGGTACCCTGTGCCTGGCAGTGACACGTCTTGGGCTAATCAGATGGATACTACTATGCCATATTATCCACCGTATGGTAGATCAATGAACTATCGTGAACACCGAGGTGATGGTCATTCTGAGATTGCCTCACAGAGAGTGAAATCTAGGAACAGAGAATCTGCCCAAAGATTGTTTCACCAGGTTGTAGCTTTGGAAGCACAATTAAGCAATATATTATCAAGAAGGTTCCATGCGGTGGAGAGTATCAACACACTTTTTCAATTAAGGTAATGTGTTTGTTTACTTCTGTCTTGCTGTTTGTGGCAACATTTTGCACATTTTCTTGTGTTTTTCTGAAAACATTTGATTTATTTTTAGACCAAACTGATCAAAATTTGTGAAAAATATATGGGAAAATTTATACAGGTTTTTTTGCTGAACAAAAGTTGATTTCTACATGTAATATGATATCCTCTCTAAAAATTGACTACCATACACATAGCAATGTCAATGTTAATTACTGTGGACGCTT